TAATAGACAGTGGTCTCCCTACCTGTTCCCTAAAAAAAGTCCAGTTGCTACAAAACTCAGCTGCTTGACTAATACATTCAAGGCAAATTGCCCACATCACTCTAATTCAAACACATCTTCACTGGCTCTCTATTACCCAGCACATTCAGTTCAAAACTTTACTCTTAACTTTTACTACACTACAATTAAAATCCCTACAATACTTAGCATCTCTTATTACTCCATATCTACCAAGCAGGGTTTCATGTTCTGCTAAGACACACCTTTTAATAGTACTTTCCTATAGGTACAGACATGGTGTATGCTTTCAGCTGCCCTGCTCCACATCTCTGGAACTCAATCCTTATTTGAGAAATGTTAATTATTTTATAGCTTTTAGATCAGGAGTAAAACTTTATCTGTTTAGTCAGGGTAAAAAGATGGCTACAGTAAATCTTCAACAATCAATTTCCTTGCCAATTGTCCTGCAAAGTTAGAACTTTGTCAATATATCACTGAATAGTATTGATTCATCTCTGCATCATCACACTTCCACTGCCCCACTGGTTGATTCATGTCGAAAGCATCACAACAGTCAGAACAATGGGTCACTAAGGCTTCTCCACACGTCGTCTTCCATCAGATTAGTCAAGGTCCATGCCCTGGTGAATAAAACACTTTAGCCCTCTCCCTCTCTCTCTCTCACCACCTCAGATGTTCTGTAGCCCACAGAAGATTATCTCTAAGCTGTCAACATTAACCTGTGAATAGACCCCAATCATTCAGATCATTCTCGTGCAAACAGAAAGCCACGATCGTTTGTGCACAGGTGCTTTTTTCCAGGAATGTCTTGTTCTATAACTACTGCAGTCTGAAAATTATTAATCAGATGGATTGGGCAGATGAAGTAACTCACTCGGGCCTGTGTAGTGACCCTCTGCCTTCTAGTATTGGTCCTTTCCCACTGTGGGGCTGTTTTTCTGGTTTTTGTGAACTAGGCTGCCAATAGTTGGAGCAGAGCACGTCTTATATAGATTCCATTATGCTAATAGCAGCCAGAGGATAATTACTGATGCAGAACGTGATTTTCTCTTTTACAGTTCTTGAGTTAATTACAATCTTGGCTTTCTGAATGCCCATTTAGAGGACATTCTTAATCGGTTCATTTTGGCAATTCACACCCAACTCAAATATCGAGCACCTGACATTTTGATTAAATCACATGACAGTACAAATCAGTCGAAAACACTGCCAGCATATTATTTGAAATGTAAATAATACTGTACTTGTGCCTACTGAGCTAAAGATGCAAAATGTACACTGCTGAGTACTCACTATTGCAGTAAACCTGAAAGAATTACAATTCCAGAGAATCTACAGAAATCTGAAGGGTGGTTTATCAAATATACTCTTTGCAAGGAAATCAAAGTGACCAGCTTCAGACTAATGTTCATGAACAATTATATGGAAGGAAATCAAAATGAACAGCTTCAGACCAATAGTCATGAACAATTATATGCCAGGAAATCAAAGTGACCAACTTCAGTCATGAACAATTAAATGTATTTGAAGTCGTTAAAATCATCAAAGGTAGATATACTGTACCTGCTGTACTATATACTGTAGCGGTCTTGGGTTCACGTGGACAATACCTTTAGTACTGTATATAGCATAGGAAAAATGACAATATAGAATGTAATAAGTGTTGTCTTGAAAATTTAGTATGGATCTTTAGAGGTGAATGCTTTTTTGCCTTAAAAAAAAGGTCTTTAACAAATGTGTCTCACATGCATCAATATATGCATTTTAAACTTGGAGTACAAGAGACACTGCTCCTAGAGAAACCACTGAAAACCCAAGAAGCTTGAAAAAGTGTATGCTCAAAATAACAAAAGACAGAGAAAGAAACAAGTAGGTTATAATAACAGCACATGACAACACCATAAAAGTGAAAAGACCACAGAAAGGCTAAAGGAAAGAGTTCCATCCATCAGGGTCCATTGGTGCAGTAACAACCCAAAGACACATCTACAAGCAAGGCATTAACAAGAGCAATCTGACTGAGTAGCTTAATCATGTCACACATTTCTTTTGATCTGCACATGATGTGTTACCACACACCTGAACAAACCAACAAATTTGAGATTTTATAATCAGGTTGAAATTAGTTGATCAAATAAGCACGTGTTAACAACAATAATAATAATAATAATAATAATAATAATAATTTGCATCCCCCACCTGGTTGCTGCACACAGTACATTCACCACACACTAGCTATCAGCGGGGAGGAGAACAGAGTGATGAAGCGAGTTCATAGATGAGGATTATTAGGAGGCCATGATTGGTAAAGACCAATGGGAAATTTGGCCAGGACGCCAAATTTTTAATGACCTCAGAGACTCAGGACCTCAGTTATACAGTACGTCTATCCGAAGGATGGCACCGTTTTAAATTATAGTGTCCCTATCGCTATACTGGGGCATAAGGACCACACAGACTGCAGGGTGTGTGCCCCTACTGGCCCCACTAACACCTACTTCCAGCAGCAATCTTAGTTTTCCCAGGAGGTCTCTCAACCAGGTACTGGCCAGGCTCACACCTGCTGAGGTTCAACAGGTTGCCAGTTGTGAGTTGCCTTACATGTTTTGGTGCACATGATTCTACAGTACAGAATGTACCATTTTAGTGAAATGGTAGAACTATAGTAAGGGTGCACTTACTGTACTTTTTGTACACAGATATAGAATGATTATTTTAAATACTGTATACAATGACAAAGTAGATTTATTGTGTATTATTTGTCAAATGAGGTTAGTTTTATCTATAATTAGGACTTATCAAGATTATCAAATGACAAGCTTGGTTTCTTTTCACCCAAAGTAAATCAAAGATGTTATACAGTAACAGTGCAGAATGCTAATTAAGGTTTTGTGTAAATTGCGTTTGAGTAACATACAGAGCCTAATAAAAGCATTCACTATTTTCAATTATGTCATATGCTGTTGAATTAATGTTCTGAATTACTGTACAGTTAAGGTATACATAATTTTAAAATCAGTATTTTAGTGCTCAAACTGAAAACAGGTCAAATAAATTCAATATCACCATATCTACAAACAAAAATAAAACCTAAAACGTGTTGATTGCATAAGAACTCACTACCCTGAATTAATATAATCAATTACAATCGTTAAGTCCTTTTTGGAAAAATGTCTATCAATTTTGCATAGTCAGGTGGTGCTATTTTTCTCCCATTCGGCTTTGCAAAAGCGCTCAGGCCCTTTTTCAAGCCACTCAGTATAAATGGCAACACCTGATTGTGTTTAAATCTATTGTCTGCCCTTGGTCACTGATTTAGTGACTAATCAGCCATTGATATACTGCATTACCTGTTAGACCTGTTGTCTGACAGGTCTAAGAAGAAGCAGGGATCCCACTATGGATTAACATGCACAGTCATAAACAGTTCTTACTGCCAGAGGGTGTTTGAAGCTTAATGATGTGCTGAGAGAGCAATACGAATTGTAAGTTGCAAAACACCTGACAGTAAAACACATTCTTCGGTAAAACAGAATCAGTTCTCAGCTCAAAAGCACAATTCGTGGTCTGTCCTTTTTTCTCCCCAACTGCGAGGGACAGAGAGATCGTCTGCAACTTAAAAGGTCAAAAAGAACAATGGAAAAAAAACCTGCTGATTTTGATTCTGTTTTAAAGTGCAGCCAATGAATTTATTAGGTCTTGTTGGTGATCCAACCTATCTTCCCTGAGGCCTCATAATCTAATGGAGCACTACTTTATAGCATAATGTGAGTGGACAGTCTGAAAGCAGTGCCTGTTGTATCATGTATGGAAAACTGAAAAGTTTGACCTACAGTATTTGTCTATCTCACAAGGAGCATGTTTCTTAATTTGACCTGCTTTCCACAGGAAGACTTCTTTCTGTTGTTGTACTCAGTGTGGTTCATGTACTATTAAAAGCTATTTCATTGTACTTGCTAAATTCCTACATATCAAGATTTTCTAACACTATAGGGGATTCAGGTGTCAGCATTATAAGTTTCACAAAGATATTACAAATTGGAAAAAATCTGTGTTTTGTATAGTATCTTATTATTTCTGGATCAAAAATGGCTATGGATACATTTTACAATGAGTATTATTCCAGACCTTGACCGGATAGTTAGTAAGTAAAATATGTGAAGTCTTCTCAGAATTCACAATTTAATGATACAGCATGCTGACCCTGTCATTAATGTGGGTTTGATTTCACATTGATTCCCCCCTAAGACAGCAAATTTTGGAACCCCAGGGGGGGGTATTCATGTAGACCACACAGAAGCAATAGAAGAAGAGGAAATTCTCTCCAGAGTGCTTTGATGAACTCAGCTGCAGTTCTGTGTAGAACTGGTCAGCAAAACTATTTAAAGATATTCCAAATTACTGAACAATTTACAGGGCACATCTTTATTGAAATAATGGTTAGTCCTCATCTTGGAGAGCCACGGTCCTAAAGCTTTAATACCTTCACGTCATCCAAGTGAAGATAATAGGAACAAGTAACCTTTACTTGCTCCTCTCCTTTGCAGCCAACACATGCTGACACAGCTCCCTGCTGGAACCTCAACGCAAAGAGAACGTCAGCTTTAAATACACAGTTTTAAAGTAAATTGACTAAATAAGCAATTACAATTACAATTACATTTCTTAGCTGAAATGAGATCAGAAAACACAGTGTCACTCCAGGGTAGGGTCTGTGGGATTTTCCCTGCTCTTTGCAGGAGAAATAATATCAGCTGAACTTTTATTCTTTCCTCTCATGATCAGCAAACAGACCACTTCTAAGAGTTACAACTTGTCATCAGCGGATTGACTAGCAGTCAGTGAGTGGACACATAGATTTTCATACTGTACTGTACATACCTCCCATCTTGCAGCAAATAGGTACCGTATAACCATGAAATTAATTTAAGGAGGAAACAGAATTAAATTCAGCTTTTCATGTAAAGCAGATAACTTACCTGCTGTCGAGAGCAGAAGAAAAATCACTGCTAGGACATTGAAGGACTGCCGACTGGTAATAGTCATCTTCTTGTCCTCATGTATCTGTGGAAGAGGGAACCCGGGCTGCTTAGCTAAACTCAGGCACACGTCTGCTGTTCCTGCTTAAGCTCTTCATATTACCCGCTTTCACTGCCCCATCTGCAAAATCATAACACCAACAAACGACAACTTATTCCTATATACTGTATCTACTATTTGCTGAGATCAAACAGTGATGCTGATAAGTGACCAGAAAGGGGCATTTCTGAAGTCCTTGATCAAAGGTCAACAAAAACACAACTGGACATACAGTACAGTAAGAATATAAAAAGCACATAAAAATATAAAAAAAGGATTCTAAATGAGAGGAGATCATGTGGTCCTTCTATCTCATTTGGCAGCTGATATTTTATTGTCTGTTTTGGTACTCCCTATTTTCTTTCCTTTCATCAAAATAAAATTTAAAGATCAGTTAGACAAAGCACCATGAATTCAAGGCCATTGTGGAAAATGAAGCCTTTTGTTATGTGAAAAGAAAAGATCAAAGAAAATAATATGCATAGCCAAAGCAATCCCCCCCCTCCTCAAACAGCTAAAGAAAGAGTGTCTCAGCATAATATTGATCTTTAAAAACACTAATTACACCTCTTCAGGCGTAAAATTAAGTAAGAATCAAATTAGGTACCAGACTCAGGCATTTTCAACACTACTAAAAGCATTTCTTTTGAAATTTGTCTCATTAAGCACACTGTAAAGATTGCAATGACAGAAACTGTTCAGTGCCATGACTCTTTAATGGTAACCTTGCTCTGACAGCCTCCATTAAAGAGAGGGATTTTCCCTGTAGCTCAGCAACATTACCAGCAGCAAGAAAATGTAGCAACTCCATTACTGTGTTTGCTCTTCAGAGGAATCATACTATATACGTTCTGCTTTTGAACTGCAGGGGTCTCTGCTTGCAAAAATTCCCCTGATAAATATTTAATTTACTGGATACATGTTCAAGAGTATTGTAACCCTGTGGAAAAAATCGAATCTGTGACGGGTTGACAAATTGTTATTTAACACTTAACACTCCGAATCAGGGCTTTTCTATTAATATGGGAAAAAAAATTAAAATAAAGCAATGTTTCGTATATACAGTATACTGTAGATAAAAGAGTAATCTATAAGAGACAAATCAAGTGATGTTAATGCTAAAATTGTATATGTAAGACCTTATTTAGATATTGTGCACACCTTTGATCACCTTGGAATAGAACCAATACTGCTGCTCTGGAATCCAGAGACGAGCACCCAGATACACTCCAGGGCTTAAGGGAATGTCGTACACTGACAGTCTAAAGGAACTGAACCATTTTATTCTTAAAGAGAGACAACTACGAGGGGACATGACACAAGTATTCAAAATCCTCAAAGCAACCGAAAAAGCTATCCTTGCAGATTTCTTCAGAATGAAAAGTGAACCATGTATCAGATGGCACAAGGAGGAACAATGTTGATACATGCTTGAGAGAAGCCAAGAGGAGACACTTCTTCACCTAAAGAGTTGTAGGAGTATTAAAGGCTACCCATCCACATTGAATCTGATACTTAGGAAATGGCTGGATAAGAGCCTTAGATCAATTATTTTTTTAATAAATACACAATAAAGAAATAAAAACAATACAATGGAGAATAATATATTTATAAGATAAAGGTATAGTACAAGTTGCCTATATAACTTTTATTTTTTCTTAATATTTTAGAATTTTAAACACAAATCTAATTTTCCAGAAGGAATGTGCTATGTTATTGCCATGCTTTTCATTTTTCATGGAGATAAAGGCTTTCAGTATCTCAAGCACTACACGTTAACCGTGTTATCAAGATTGAATTTCCCAGACATTTAAGGTCACTTTGATTAAAAGCCTTGGCATTTTATCAGCCAACCAAACCCGCCCCCTCACTCCTGGATGTGAAAGTCTTCTGTTGTGCTCAAGAAAGCCCCCAGACAGAACAGCAGGAGCAGTTTAGAACCTGACAGAGCCAGTGAAATGCTTTGCTAGTCTTGCATTTCTCCTCACTTAAACTCACAAGCACTCTGTGCTAAGTGTATGTTGTGGTTTTCTTTCTTCTGTGTTTGAATGGCTACATCTTTGTGAAAATGAAAACCTGAAATCAAACAAATCCTGATTCTAAAATACTATATCTGCAACCTCATCAAATTGTCAAGTGTATGTAAATGGTAACCCATAGTTTTCAAAAGAGTAGATAATCTCAGCATGTTTACATAATGAAGACATGTTGAATTTAACCAAGGCTTTTATTTAAGATAAAATCAACTAGACTGCAAATAATATATAGGAATAATTGCACTTCATTTCACTTGGGTAGAAATTATATGTTCAGGCATTTTTTGTGCTAATAGTGTATCTAACCCTAACCCTTATAGTGTATCACTATTTTGAAAATCAATCAAATAGAAACCACAAAGCTACTCAGCAACAAATTGCAGTTTTTGATTAGACAATAGTTGACAGTAAAATACAGTAATACAATTGTAGCAATACAGAATTGTATAACTGGTACTTGTATTAGAATGGTATAGTGGTGTGATGAATAGTACTGCTACCTCACAACTCTTGAGCCCCTGGGTTCAATTCCAGATTGACCTTTTGTATGGAGCTTTGAAGGTCTCACTGTGTTCATGTGGGTTTTTTCCAGGTGCCCTGGCTTCCTCCCAGCTTCCAAAGATATGTTGACATGGTATATTGATGTTTCTGTTTGTCCATGTCTGTCCTGTGATACACTGATATCCTACAGTATCTAAGATTTCATTCATTGCCATATTTTGCCCTGTGATTCCAGGTTAGACCCTGACAGGGAAAAATACGCTTTCTGATGATAGATGATCGTTATTAATTGCATGGTTGTATAGTGTATCTTAAATTTGCTTTCTCTTTATAATTCTGACTCACTTAATAGCATTGAATCAATAAAAAACCCCAATATAATTCAAGAGATTGATACTATATGCATGAAGAACTATCAGAAATGAAGAAACTATCCTATACTATACTTCTATACTCTGGGGCTCCTTTCCTTTTTTGGCAGCAACCAAATGAATTTGAGGTGCTCCGGCGGCAGTCAATGTTCTCTTCATTTCTGACAATTACTGTAGCAACTTTTCTGACTCAGCATGTTCTTTGCAAACAAAAACAAGGAGTTACAAAGGAGAGTGTCCAAATAGCTTACCGTGCTTGTTTAATGGCTTCTTGATGTAAAGAAAACACAGATTAATTTCTAGAAAGATCCAAGTAGACTAAAATCTGCAGCATAATGCAGTCCCTTTAGCAAAGCAGACCTGCTGCCAGACTCTAAGAAACCCACAGAGAAGAACCCACAGGAACTCCACAGAAAAAAACAACGGGGGCCTGAGGACATCCTGCAGGCTATTTGCATGTAATCTGTAACATTTCTGGAACCACAGCGCTGCAGCAATTTGTTTGCATGGATTATTAAAAATACTTTTTTCTCCATACCCGATGATCTCCAGTTGAAGTTTTTTTCCCTCTTGTCTATCTAGGTAGAGGTCATTTTTCAGGGCTGGCCTACTGACCTTTCCTCACAGACAAGCCATTAGAAGCTGGTTGTGAATGAATTTTACGACCCGTCAGAATGATGAGGATCTCAGTCACAACTCCACTGTGCTGATACTAAAGTGAGTCAGCAGAGAGAACTGGTGTTGTAAATGTGAGGACAGAGCCCCAGCTTGTCCAGTAAACTGCTACTTCATCAGGATTACATTTTTCAGGGAGATTTGTGCTGTTAGCTCTCACCTGACAAAGGAAATCAATAAGGGTCTCGTAAAAGCACCATCTGTCTTCCCTCCTAAAGAATGTGACCGGGAATACAATCAAAACAGAAATCCTAAAAGGAAGTATACAGTAACTATGACTTTTTTGTTTTGTGTATATGAACTCTCAACTCCTCTGAACAATATTTGGTTGTTTGTTCCATATGTTTGTGTGGTTCAATCTACAGTAACTGTCCATTGTAACTCATCAATTAGTTTGTTGCTGTTCTTGTTTGGCAGTGAATGCTGTATAATAATAGCTGTAAATTTGATTAGCTCTCACCCACAAAAGGAGAAGATTCATTAAGACATGTATCAGACCTGGTTTACTTCAGTAAAAATACAGACACTTGCTTTAAAGTAATTATCCTCAACCCTAGTCCTGGTAAACCCCTTTGTTTTATATGTGGTACAGTACATTAAAATGGCAGTTTACCCAGATATTAACTTTGAAGGTTATGTGTTTCAAGTATGATTACCCATTTTTCAGAAACTAAAAACAAATGTATTATGTAGGTCTGGCAACGGGCTGAAATGAAGCCCTTGGCAATGGGAGTTATATCTACTGTGGTGTGGCCACTCTGTGCTGTCTGGGCTTTATGCTGTGTGTCTGGGCCTTTCAGAACAATGAGGGGTTTAGCAACTACAGAAGAGGTTTCAAAACTGTTACAAATTGACAGTGCCACATGCTTAATAAAAGATACTTCACTGGAAAGATGCACACTGTTTGAGCAACAAAGCTCTGTGGAAGCTATCAATCACACACAGAGTTTGCAGAGATCTTCTAATTGACAACCTCTGAAAGCATTCTAGGCAGTTGAATTTATTTGGGGTAATTTATGGTGGTTTTTAATCACTTGTCTCACTACCCTGAAATGCCGCATGTCTGAGCTTGCTCACTACCTTGATGAAAGAAAATGCCAGAAGAAAGGGTCGACAACAATGGAAGTGACAATCCGCACGTGTGCTGCTGTTCCACTTTAATTAGCGCTTCGGTATGAAAAGACCCCTCGCTGCCAATCACTGGCTCTGCCTGTCAGTGCCTGTGCTTTGAACAGACGGCAGATGCTTTGAGCTACAGACATGGTTGAAATCACTGGTTCCAAAGGGAAGAAAATGAAACCCTCCTGCTTAGTGTAGAAACCATAACCAGCTTGCTTTGGCGGTTAGAAGCTCCTCCACTCACTTTCCAAATTTTCCATGATTTCTGGAGCTTCCCAGGCCGTCAGTCAGTCTACTCTGTTATATAGGAAGGTTATAAATTCTTTCAATTGCCTGGTAGAAGAACAAATTGTATTTGTTCACAAAATTTTTGAGAAATTCAAAGGTCACTCTGATCGAGGGTTATTTAATATCTTAATTAACTTAATAACCATCCTGTAGGCATGACGACCTGGGAGAAAAACTCCATGCATAAGAAACAGTTTCATATAAGAAAACATACATCCATCTAGAAAGTATATAACAAAGAACATAAACACAAACTAGACGTGTATTTCAGACCATGGTCAGAATAAGCTCAACGCCCACCTCTTCTGCCATTTACAAAATCTCTTACACTGTAGAAAATCAGAGGATGGAGAACTTGAAATCACTGTTTACTGAGCTGAGTCTTCAAATGCCCTAAAGAAATCCAATTATAAATAAGGAAATATCCTACTTTGTTTCTAAACTTTAGGTGGAAAAACAAACAAACGAGCAGTCCTCCTGAAGGAGGACTAATGAAGGGAGTCTAGCTCATCTGAAATAGCACTGGGAAAAGCAAGGTGATACATTTAATGGCAGTGAATAAGGGCACCTAACCCGAAACCTCCTGTTGGCTAGATTACAAATCAACAAGTTCTGACAGACGGGGGAGCCACTGCTACATCTCAAAAACTGCACAAAGTCTACAAAAAGGAAAATTGTTTTTCATTATCCTCTTCCTTCATCTTTAATGCTAGATGGATTCCTCATATATTATGCATTAAAACACTGCTTCTGTTGTCCCCATTGGACATTTCTTGCTCAGCAGCTGCCAAAAGTAACAACACATTGAGCTGAATGGGAGAGAAAGAAAAACAATGTCTTCTGTTTTTTAGCACAGACAAAATACAAAATCAAGAAAGTTCCAAAGTTGCTAAACAAACAAGAAACAGTCTGGAGTTAATAATTGTCATGCCTGGTCTTTGTTTTTGTTGTGAACCTCATGTTTTTATTCTGTGTGTATACAGTACGCACACGTCAAATTGATTGACAACAAACATAGCAATGCAGAAAAAGTAAATAAATTAATGTGTAGGAAGTATTACATAGAAAAAGTGTTACATATAAAAAGACTTGATGATTAAGGGTGTGTGTTTGTGACAGCACTTAGGGAAAACAGCTCCAGTATGTCTCATCTGAAGGAACAGACATCAACAGTTAGATCAGAGAGTGATCTGGCAGTCATGCAGTTAAGCTGTTTTACAGTCTTCCACATTTCACCTTTACTCTCATAATTCTCACTCGTGGTCGGGCTGATACTGTAACTCAGTCCTCCTATAGGTATCATTTAATAATGCTTAGTTACAGTATCAGTATCATAAAAAGGGAGCTGGAGGAAAGCAGCCCTGACAATTGAGTTGAGCCTGTGACAATACAGTACACAGAACCTGTGACAATACAGTACAATAGAGCCTGTACAATACAGCTGCTCTCATACCGTTCTGTCTAAACCAGAAACAGTTGGACATGCATGGAATGGACAAGGATGTCATTATTGCTCATCAGGGTGGGGTTTTAGTCTCAGGAAACCAGAATAAGCTGTGTGGCAATCCATACAGCCTGCTGAAGTTTGTTTCCCATGTTGAAGTTTGTTCATAAACTGTGGAGTGACAGTGAGAGAAATGCATCATCAAGTTTTCCACAGAGTTGATGGCTTAGTGTTTGAAATCATGGGTAAGTTGAGATCAGTTTGAATGTAGTATTTTGGTCAAGATGGCCAAGATGAAACAAACTCCAACTAGCACCAACTTAAAACAGTGACCATCTTGAGATACGACATACAGTACATTAATATTTCAGTGGGACCTCACAGTGCCTTAATTTAATAATATTATTAATATTGCTATTATTATAGTGCTTATCATTGTTAAATAATTGTATCATCAGTATTGACACCTGAAGAATGTTTCACATCCAAAACTTTGTGTTTTCTCTCTTCTCTTTTCAGCATGGAATAAACCTATTACTTGTTCCGTTGTTAAAGTATTATGAGTGACACTGTGAGTCCAGTTAAAATGGGATGGGATCTCCATCAAGTTTTGTTCTTAAGAAAATTATGTTCTGTGTTCCCACTAGAGTGTGGCTGTGATAGCTTTGCTTTGGAACAGAGAATCTGTTTATTTCATTACTGACATGTTGTCCAATGGCTTGCAGACGGACACTCTGTATTTGTTTTTATCAGGTGCTAGAAATAGGAGATAAATGGACAATTTATTCATGCCCTGCAATGTAAATCAAAAGTCAACACATCCAAACAGGTTGTGGCCTCTTTTTCTCACACATTGTAAAAAGTGCTGCCGAATTCTCTCACTATCTTATTGCACACCTAATGTCTGATCATTTAAATGTTGTGTATGACTGTAATTGGTCTATTATATCTATAAAATCTTAGTTAGGGCACTAAAAAAAGCAATACTGGCCATGTGCAACTAAACCTTTAAAAGGTTTGCAGTCCTGTAAATGCTAACAACCACACAACACGCCCTGCCATTATTAAGGACAAAACAGTGCATAGTCTTCCTAAGCAAAAGAGTGATGATACTAAATGAAAAGAAAAAATCAGTTACAGTATGTTGCATTAGCTGCATTAAACACATGAGCCCCATAGATCCCTCTCGGTGTGAGTGTCAGTGATGGTGTATCTTGTGCATGTACTGTACTGTAGCTCATGACAAATACATGTAATGAACATTCCTAACTGGGCTGCTGCCAGTGCTGCTGCCGCGCAGGATCCTTGGTTCAATTCCAGCTCAGGGTGCCTGTCTAGCTGGGGTTTGCGCGTTCTCCCTGTGTTTGTGCACAGCTTCTCTGTGCGATGTAGTTTCCTCCCACCTCACAAAGAGACGATAGCTAGATTTGAGGGGCTTCTCTCACCTGTGCCCTGCGGTGAACTGGTGTCCCAACAAGGGGGAGAGCTGTGGTGTGACCTGAGTTCTGCCCTGTTCCCTGTTCTCCTTGGGCTAAGCACTGGCTTGCTGGAACCCTCAGCAGGATACACAGCTTCCCGCTAATGGACGAATGTATAGGTCACAGTCAGTAAAAGTTGCGTCTGATAAAAATAGAACATCAACTCTACGTCATGTGCAATTGGACTGTGATAGAGAAACTCGCAGAGAGGCTTGCCGTTGCCGTGGAAACCAGTGATTACAAAAGCGAGAGAGGAAAAAAAACAGACGTAGTCGCAGCTACTGTATGTGTGTTTTAAGTCTTCAGTTGGTACAGCAATTGCCATGTCTGTGTGACATTAAGGAGGGAATTAAAGTTGCATGTTTTAAGAAAATAAAATGTGAAAAGCAGAGACAGAGAGAGAGGGGGGAACACAGTAGGATCACTGACAGTTGCCATGAAGATATGTAATGAGTAAGATTGTGCAGAGGATAAATTGCCTTCTGTTGTGTGTGCTTGCATGGGAGTTTTTTGTCGTGCTTTGTTAACTTGACATAAACAGGAAATGCAATTACTGAGGTCACTTCAGACGTAGGCGTTCTATTTGTAAGGACTGGGAGGGTTGAATTGTTCTCTCTTTGGAAATTCTGCATTTGTCTGCCATTCAGAGGCTGAACGGCAGAGATAAAAGCCAAGCTGTTCTGGACACAAGTGTGTGATTCTCTCTCAGACAGAGAGAGCTGGTGCCTGACAGTTTTCTACAGCAGTTTATCTACACTTTGAAGAAACCTGAGACAGGCTCACACAAAAATGTGCTTTTATTTTCCTTGGCAATGTGTTGATTATAAATGTATGCAATGCATTCGTTTTCTTCAATTCTGAGAAATTAGATGGAGGAGATCATAGCCCTAAAGAAACATTCCATTGGAAGGTTTATTTGCACAAAATAAAAAAATAATCAAAAGAATATTTTTTACCAGATTTATTACACGTATTCAATGAAAAAATACATGTTTTGATCATATTTTATTGATTAGAGGTTAGAGGAATGTAGCTGTCTTCAGGCAAAATTCAAACCCAAGAGCAGCCTACCATTACAAATACCACAATAATGTACATCAGCTAACATACTGTACTTAGAACCACCTAGATATTTCTTATTACGTGCAGACCAAAACATGACATTATCCTTTTGTTGTAGTGTTAACATAATGTAATAATTCTTGTAGTGGTTGCAATATCACAATGATGTTTCATGAGACAAGTTATTGGAGATTTTTATATTCCGAGCAGAAATTGTCACCAAATAAACTTGAAATGTTTAAATTAAATTTCAGATAAGTCTGATTTGCATATAAAGATAAATGATAGATATTGAGGAGTCCCAATAAATGCAGTTATACAGTAAATAATAAAAGACACAATAGGTTTATACATGTCTATTTAATGTTTAAGAAGCGGAGGTGATTTACAGTAGAACGCAGGGGAGAGTTTCAGATAAAATTTAGGAAACTTAAATTCATATTGTATTCATATGCTTCACAAGTATAAAACAATACCTACAGTATTTATTTCTACAACTTTACATCAGCAGGTTAATTCAGCTCCCTGTCTAGGAAAATGTGACTTGTTTCTAGCTGTTTATCTACTCAGTGAAATGCAGTTTTAAAGGCTCCTTTACACGAACAGAGCTTGAACAAATTAGTTACTGAGCTGCACTTCAGAATTACTTAATTGAACACAATAACACCCTCATATAACCAATAAATATTCAGTGGGAGCACCCCTCCTTTTGAGCAGGAACCTTATATGGCTAAACCATAGGATGACTTGACTGAACATGATGCCGTAATTGTCTCGACAATGAAAAGCTGAAGCTATAAACTACACTTCACACAGTTTCTGCTTCTGAGTGGATGTATAACTTTCCCTCAAAATATCTCATACTGTAATATGGAAGTGAATGTAATAATTGTGTTGTTTTATTTTTCTATTTTGCACCTTATAACCTTCAATTGTTATTTTACTTCATGGCTTATAGCAACACCTCTGGTACTGCACAGGGAGACGGAGGATGGACATATGAATTGGGCAATTTGACTGAAAATAAAGACAACCTCTATTATACAGTGCAACTGTTTCCTAGGAATGACTGTTTTTCCTAAACATGTTTAACCTGCTCTTGCTAGAAACATTGACCTTTTCTGTAATTAAAACGAACAAAGACAAGACAGGAAGAAAAAAAGAATATACTGTACAATGTGCAAAGTCTTCTTCGTTGGCCTACTTTGCTAACCTCATTCACAAACAACAACAGTTACAGCACCTTAGTGCCTTTGAAGTTCTGACTACAGAAATACATATATGACTACAGAATATGCTGTGTACATTTATCTGGAGCTGCACTATTTATGCTTGTCCATTGAATATACTTAAAAGTAAAACATAACACAGTAAAACTATGTTAGCTTTAAAGAAAGAATGTTACACTGGGAAAGTGGGATACCAGGAGAGTTGCTAAGCTTGTGAATTGACTCAAAAAGATAAAACCAGTTAGAAACAGTATACTCTGTTTTTTCTTGTCTTTGATATGCATAAAAAGGTCGACTGGGATTTTAAATTAGAGGTTAGTGATGATGGAGAGACAAAAATAGCTTATGTGAGCTAGCTGAATTATTATCCTGTTCTTAACTAATATCTGTTTTTGTTGAAATACAATAAATCATCCACAATCAGGCTGAAACACAATGCATTTGTGATACAACACTATAGAACTATTTCCTTATCTCCTTGCCTCTGCAAGCATGATTACAGGACCCAGGAGGAGACACGGGGAAAAATATTTTATTATCTTATGCTTGCGATTTATATGAACTCTCAACTCCATGTCTGAGTCCTTTGAACTCAGACATGTCCGTTATCAAAGAGAGGGTGTTAAAAAGATGTTTCTCTGAGAATGCTTTTTCACTACTAAAGCAGCTGCTTTTTTTCTGTAATACTCGCAGCGAATGTTATGCGCTGTTGAAAAATGAAAATGTGTGATCAGATCACTTAATAATTTCATTAATTGGGATTACAAGTCCTGAATCTAGTAAGCATCCTCCTAAGGAAAAGAAATGTCCATGATGCAACTTGAGGCATTACAGGGGTTGCTAGCAGTTCCTGAACCAGAAGAAGAAATTGAGGGACAATGTTTTTATCTAATGTGTGACATTTAAGTTATGGCCATGTGATTGTTAAGTCATGTGAAAAAGAAAAACATTTTACCTGTGTCCCCTCCTGAGTGTTGAGCATTGCAATTCAGACAATTCACCAACTATAATTTCAGTATCTCTGCTGCCACACCGTGTATACAGTCCAAGTGTTTATCAACACTGTGCTATTTAAAGCTGAGGTGCTCTGCTGTTTTATCACTTTCTTATTAGTTACAGTACACGATTTACTGTAGAGCAGAAAAAATGTTCAACAGCAAGAAACATTCCTGTCAGTAATATAAAGTATTATGGCCATTTCTTTAATGCACCAAGTAGGACTCTTGGAAAGCATACTGAGCCCTATAGCATAGGGGGCTGCTGCCTACATCCCAGGAAATGTCCATAGTTAACTGTAGTCTGGAGATTTCCAAGGTGAGTGGTGTTGGATCATTGAGGAACTGCTGGGTTCATTACACACAGGGGTGTCTGGGAGACTGAACACTATCAGTAATGGCTCTGTCAGTTCTCCACCCAGTAAGAAACACATGCTGTTTGCAGCCTGAGCTCCTGGTGAGAAGCTGATAAACTTAACAAAGCCCATTTCAGAAAGAAAGTTTATGCTGCCTTCACATCTCCCTGGCTGATGTGGGGATTGAGTCTGTGAATTGGGCTAAATAATAGGTGTCTGTTATAAAATTGTGGCATTATAAGACACAGGTAGTTAGTAAATCCAAATTAAATTGAAAGTATATACAGTAGGTGACTGAACTAATGTAGCTACTGTATAAGGCTGTAGACAGTTTCTGCACTCTCTAATAGTCTCTATCACATAAAACTTAGATGACTGAAAACTTCCTTAACTTAAACGCCGATGAGACTGAAGTTATGCTTCTCAGCACCTGCTGTCAATTATGTAAGGCCAATGCAGTAACCCTATCTGTGGATGGTACTGTACTTGAATTTCAATATAAAGTGAAGAACTTGGGGGTGATATTTGATTTAAACTTGTCTTTTGACCTACATGTGCAAAATGTTGTAAAAACATCATTCTTACATCTCAGATATATCGCCATATCACATTCTATGTTGTCTCAGACTGTTGCTGAAAGGCTGCTCAACACATTATTCTTTTCCAGTATTGATTAGTGCAACAGTTAGTGCATTAGTGCCATTAGTCCTGCTTGCTGGGTTATCTAAATTCATGCTGAACAAACTTCAGTACAGTATGTCCAGAATGTGGCAGCCAGAATCCTGACCAGGTTGCAGGCAAGTGATCACATTACTCCTGTCCTGGATTGCTTGCACTGGCTTCCTATCAGGTTTCATGTCAACTTCAAAATCCTTGTGCTCTCCTATAAGGCTCTGCATGGCTACTTGCTAACTTTCTTCTCTCTACCTCTCAATCTTGTTTCATCTGACTCTGGTCTCCTGTTCAGCCCCCAAGCTCCTCTCCATATTATAGGCGACAGGACCTTTATTTCTCCTGCTGCACCTCAAAGCTCTGGCATTCTATCCCCAAAGATATCAGAGAGTCACCTTAGTGCATTCAACTCAAGACTCAAAACCTGCTTCATCAGATGGGCTTTTACTTCATTGGTCCTGTGACTTTGCATTCTAAACCTTTGGTTTTTAATTGGGCTAATTTTATTATCTTTCTCCTTGTTAGCTTTTTTCTCTTACCGCAAAGAACTTTGAGAAGTTACTTTTAAAGGTGCTATATAAAATAAAGATTCTTATTCTTAGCTATTATAAATATTAGTGAATCATATGATAAAAACTAATTCAGGATTTTTTTTTTAATTTCAATTTTCTTTTCAAATAGATATCAAAAATAAAATATTAACAAATAAAATATAACCAAATATAAATTTAAATTATATCTGTTATCCAGTATATCATTATACAGTATCTAAGAGGGCTATGCAAG